CCCAGCCTGCCTGGGTGACCTGGGCCAGCATAAGGCGATGACTGGGCCGCCCTCCACATGACCGGCTGGGGTCGGCCTTAGGTGTTTTGACTCAGACCTGCCACAGGCCGTGTGCAGCACAGCCATCCTCCCCTTGTCCCTGTCCCCAGAAGTCACAGGACTGTAGCTGTCTCCCGGGACATAGTAGCCCTTATACCAAAGCTCCCTGATCCAGCACCCACCTCAAAACCGGGGAGCCAACTGGTCCTTCTGATCTGCCCTCCAGCCCAGGCTACAGGGCCCCACCTGCCCAACCCCTGTCCCTCAGAGACCTTCGCCCCTCCCCGAGGCAGCCCAGCCCTTGGGGACACCCGCCCCAGGAAGCAGCCAGCTAGCTGGCCATGCCAGGGCCTCCCGCTCTGACCATGGACTGTGACCCTTCTTGATGCTGGAGTAGGGATTCTGGCGACATCGTGGGTCCCAGCCTGGTGTGGAGAGTGGGACAGAGACAGAGAAGGGCTATAAAGAAGGCAAACCAAGAGGAAGGGAGAAGAAAATAAGAAACATTGTTCATATACCTACTTAGGGACAGTGCTAACATCAGCATCCACGCTGGGACATCTTTATTATAGCTGAGAGGTGGCCCAATGTAGCCTCACTGTACAAAGAGGGAAATTGAGGCGGGAGCTCAGGCAGGTTACTGGGGAAGACGAGAGGTTTGGGAGCAGACTCATTTTTTTTTAAGTCTAAAGTATTTTCTTATTCCTTGCTTCTTCAGAAAGAAATTATCACACTAAGCTAGAACAGGGCTGGTAGAGCTCTTACCTCCCATGCTTCAGGCCCTGGGTTTAATCACTAGCAACGGGGGGAAAAAAACGTAGCAGTAAAAGATTGTAAGGACATGGAGACACAAGTGCGCATCTTGCATCTACCGTGTCAAGCTGGGATTTGTTCTCTAGATAAACAATAAATGCTAGGACACTTTCTCTGCCTTTTTCCTACGGTCCCCTTCCCTATAGGCCTCCGTGTGGGGTGTTACCAGGGACTGAATCCAGGGCCTCTCTACAGCAACTACATCTCCAGCACTTTTTAAATTTTTATTCTGAGACAGGATCTGATTAAATTATCCACAGTGGCCTTGAACTTGCAGTCCTCCTACCTCAGCTTCCTGGTGTTGGAATTACAGTCATGCATCATCATGCCTGGATCCCAGGGAACTTTTAATCTCTGTGTATGACCTGCAGTGTTGACTGAGAGTCTGTAACAATAACCCTAAAAAAATTTCAAAACGAGCTCTAAGTGGGTCCAGGTAGAGGACCACACTGGGATCCCTTTGTCTTCCTGAGCTCGGTGCCAGTTCTCTGTTCTACCTGTGTGACTGCCTTGTCCCTTCACACAGGGAACATGTTTATTTGCATGGATCTTCCTCGAGGAAAAAGTGCTTTGTGGAGACTCAGCTCACCTTTAGCCAAAAAGCAGTTGCTTTGAGAGCTCTGACCTTTCACAGCAGAAAGCTGTGGGATCCGGTTCTGCAACCCGTTCATACTGTAAGGGATGGAGGTACTCAGGAGAGCTGCTCCTGCCCAGGGCTGCTGAGACTCCACCAGGCACCCCTGCAAGCTACCTGAAGCTCCAGGGAAACACCTTGGTGGGGCAGGTGGACACAGGATTTGGATCACAGGGGAAGGGGGGTGGGAGGCCAGACTGTTGGGGTATACTGGGGACCACATGAGCCAATATAGCAATGAGCTGGTAGAACTGGCCAGGCTGAGATCTGTGGGCGCCAGTGCTGTGACAAGGAATTTGCAATCAAAGCTTCGTGGGGAAGGGCTGCAGGGAGTCGTGGAGGAAGAGTGCTGAGAGTGAGATTTCTAAAGCAGAAGCCAGACCCTGGTTGGCCTCGTGGCAGGGAGAAAAGGAGGTGTGAGCTGGGGGTGAGAGAATGTGAGAGAAACCACCGCACTGATGATCCGCATGGAGAGGGGAGGCCCCGGGAAAAAGAGGACAATCTGAGGCTCTTGGGGTGGGGCTGGGGGAAGAAAGCAAGTGTGGACTTGGGGATGGATGGTGAGTTTGGCTTCAAGGTGCTTACATATCCTCCTGGGGCCAGGCAGGGGGTAGATCCCCTCCAGGGAATTGATCATCCTGGGGTTGGTGGTTTGGGGTTACCTGCAGCTGTGACTCGTTGGATGCACTGCAGGGATGACAAGTCCTCAGAGGTGGGGTCCCAGGCCCCTTTCCAGAGACTAGAGCACCCTCATCTGCTTCCTGAGGACTAGTGCTGCTGCAGTTCGAAGCCAGCTCACACACCTCCCCTGGATAGCAGGGAGCTGAGGGAAGGGCAGGGATAATCTCTGCCTGCTTTGAGGGCAACCTTGGTGCTCACCACAGTGATGGCTCCCATTGCACTCCAGGAAGCTGAGTGCGCTGGGCTTTCGGCACCCACCAGCTCTCACCCGTAGCTTCCCAGAGGCCCAGACCGAGGAAGGCCCTTCTTGCTGGGATGGGGCAACTATGAATGAGTTCAGCCCCCTGATGCTGGAAAGACCTGGAGCTGGGCACAGCCAGGACGTCGGATGGCACCTGTAGGATGGGCGCCCTGATGTACACAGTGCTTTGGTTTTCCTTATTGATGTATACTTGCCTGTCTCTTCCCCTTTGCCCTGGCTCCTCTGAGCTCCTACTCTGTACCAGGCAGTGCTGGGTGCCAGGGCCAAATGGAGCAAGCAGAAGATGGGTCTGTCCATGGCAGCCCCAGGCCAGTGTGGGAGGCAGTCAGGAACACAAACACCTCGGGATGGGTGTAACCAAGTTTCTGGTCTCAGACTATGGGCAGGAGGAAGAGTTCTCGGGATGCGCCCTTGAATTGATGGCTAACAAGGGGGGAGTTGACAGGACCAAAAAAAAAAAAAAAATGACAGGGACTAACTGTACCTTGACAGAGCAGGAAGAGGTAGGATGAGAGTCACCGAGTGGAGCTCAGTGAGGAGCCACACAGGCCAAAGGAGAGGAGAGAGGTGAGTCAACAGAGAAAGTGCACGTGGGAGCCCATCCTATGGCCCAGGTGGAGCCTCTGTGGTGGGCAGACGGCTAAGGGGGAAAGGGTGCCCAGTGGAGGGCAGCAGAGGACCTTTATTAGTGCTTAGTAGACAGCCTGCAATATATTGGACAGCTTCCCACAGTGACTGCTAGTTGGAAATCTGGGGCCAGAGTTCTGCCCCAGCCTTGCACTAATGCTCTGTAACCGTGGGCAAAATTATGCCCTTCTCTGGGCCTTTTTGATAAATCACAATGCCTTCACTTGTACTCAGAGCCTTTGCCCTAGCTGTTCCCATCACGCCTTCTGCATGTCATCCAGACCACGGGGCGAACGTCATCTCTCCAGACACAGCCCTGACCACCCACAGCGCTCCATTCTTGCTCTCTATATTACATCATTCGACTTTATTTTTGTCAAACTCATGCAATCTCAGATGCTCCTGTTGGTTCTTTTGCTTGTCTATTGTCTGTCTGACCCTTGCCCCGGAGCTCAGTGTCTTTAGGGACTCTTGCAATTGTCAGCCAAGTTGCAGAGGCGGGGTTGGGTGGGGGAGACCAGGAGGATGCTCCCACCCTGGAGTTCATCAAGCCTGAAATCAAACTTTGCCCAGCCCAGTTACTTTGTTCTGAAGACCTGGGCAGGCTGACCAGACTCTCTGAGCCCTGATCTTTCCATCTGCAGAGTGGATCATATCTGACAGCATCTACCACCCCTGATGCAAGAGTTGACTCCCAATTCCAGAAAGTGGGGGCAGCCAGGAACCAAGTCAAGGTCAAGTCATACATTTTAGGGAAACGGTCTACCACTGAGCCAGATCTCCAGTTCCTCATCCTTTCTGTTTTTTTTTTTTAAGTGAAAAAGACTCCCAGAATTTATTACATGAATAAAGCTTATTGAACTTCAAGTTCATCTGCCTCTGTTGGCCCTTCCCCTGCAGCTGCTGCCTCCATGTATCACTGGTCTTTCCTAAGGAGGGGCTCTGACATGAGATGGAAACTCTGCCCTTTGGAATCCTTCCAGGAGCAGTTTTAAGCTCATACCAAGTCACAGGCTCTGTCTCAGGCAAGATCTACTAGGATCTTGCCCACTTCACAGACAAGGAAACAAAGGTGCTGAGCCTCATCCTTGGCCCAGGGTTCCCCAGACAGGTAGGAGAGGGGTGGAATGAGACTCTGAGCCCGGCAGGTCTGTCTGGGTCATGTTGCACTCCTGCCTACCCTGAGCTGTTCCCTGTGCACGCAGCCATTCCTTTGTGAGTATCTGTGTCATGTGTGGGGCAGGGGGTGTTGTTGGCAGGGGCACAGCTATAAATTCACACAGCGATTCATTCCACAAATACTCAGAGCACTTGCTGTATTCCAGGCCACAGGACATATCTGTGTTCCATAGGGGATGAGATGTTGGCACACATGTGGGCTGGAATATGCACAGATGCATGCAGATGTAGCTACACATGCACACACACATACACACAAGTGTTTATGCACACATCAACATCCAGGCTTCAAGATGGGGTGAAAAACAGACACAACATACATTTACACACACTGCACTCAGCACATACACCCCAGGCCTATATCCACGGTAGCCCACAAGTGACTCACAAGCCCAAGCCTTCCTCCAACCTCTCTCGCTGTCCTACCCCACACCCCTCATCCCCAACACGCAGCCATAGAAGGGGAATATATATATATAATCTCAAGCAATTTAGCAAGACTCTGTCTCAAAATAAAAGGGACTGGGCATGTAGCTCAGTGATAAAAGGCCTCTTGGTTCAATCCCCAGTACTGGAAAAAAATAAATAAATATGAATTGTCCCCATGGCCAGAGACCCCTTGCTAGCTAGGTCATGTGACTTCGCTTCCTAGCCGGAGCACGGGCATCCAGCCCAACCCCAAGCAGGAACTCTTTTGGCCTTGCCACCTAGAGATGCCCCAGCCCCACACCTGCATCCTCTTCCACAAGATACAAAGACAGGAGCTTTAGAAACCAGGCATGTTTTAAATATGTTAGCACAATATTATTAACATTAAATATAGAACATAAATAAGCCTTATAAATATGAAACATTACAAACTGTTAAAAAAAAAAATCAATAAATTAGTCACGCAGCTCCAAGGAATTCCCCCACAAGCTTCTGGGACCTCCCTTCCCGGAGGCCGTTTTCAGCATGAGAAAATTCCACAATGCGCCACCAGAGGGAGCAGTCAGCTGTGCAAAACCAAGACTGGTGCATCTTGGGGCTGGGGGAGCTCCTACAGAGAACATACCCCAAGGCTGTTTGCACCGTGTGTCCAATTTTCAGAGAATTTGATATCCACCTTACATCACAGAGTCCCAGAAACTTCCAGGCAGAGGGAGCTTTAACACAGTGTCCAAATTCCTGGCTTCCCAAAGAGGAAACTGAGGTAAGATCATCTGCCTGAGGTCACTCGGAGAATCAGGTACGAAGTTGGGAGCTGAGCCTCAATCCCCTAGACCTGCAGATCAGTGCTTCTTCTAGGACGCACTGCCTCTGCCGTAGCTGCCGAAAGTGTCCAGCTGTCCAGGTGTCTAGCCTGGGCAACAATGAGGCATAGGAGGCCAGCCAGGGCCCTGACCTCCCCTTGGAACCCTGCCACCACAGAAAGGAGGAAGTCTGGGGGCAGGAGCTCCACAAGTCATGAGAGGGAAGGGCCTCTGGGGAGTCTGAGGGGCAGTCAGCCCAGCCATGAGTCAGCTTGTGTCATCAGACCCCTGAATCAATGGAAAGTCGGCCCCTTATGGCCTGACCTGGCTCCCCCACCAGGACTGGGAAACTCGGGCTGGGGGCACTGCAGCCTAGCTCTCCCCCAAGCCCGGCGGAGGTAGAAAGGGCCCTAGCAGCTTCACTTTGTTTTAAAGTGCACTTCTGAGTGGTGGGGGACAGAGGGAGCAGATCTGGAAACCCAGAGAGGAGACAGAGCATCCTACACCAGTTCCTCACATCCCTAGAGCACCTGCTGTGTTCTTCACCCGCAGGTGACTGCTGCTCAGACTATCAGGACAACTTCTCCCTGGGCACAGGCCTCTTGGTTCTACTGCAGGGCCTGGCCCTGTGTGCCACCCTGTGAGGAGCCTGACTGGGGCTCTCCCTCCGGTTACGACTTGGGCTGTCTCCCCACTTCCCAAAGATCTGCTCCACGGAGCCCATGAAGTGGTGGTAGCCGCATAGGAACTGACAGCCCTCCACCTTGGCTTGGAAGGTGTACTGGGCAAGGGTCATCGGCGTTGCCTCTGGGCCAGGCAGTGGAGCCTCTGTTGTCTCCGAGTCATCAGTGAGCAGTTCTGACATGCAGTAGATGTTGTTCTTCATACCCTGGATGTTCTGCCTGGTGTCATGCAACTCTGGCAAGTCCTTGGCCTTCAAGAGCCTCTGCTGTAGAGTAGCCAGTCCCTGCAGGACGCCATCCAGCGTGTCACTGACAGTCTGCAGGAAGCCACGCCTGCTCAGCGCCCCCAGGGCTTCCTCACTGGGGAAGGCCTTGGAGCACTCCGTGCAGTATCCTCTCAAGACAGGCGTGTTCAGGCCTTGGGCACGCATCTAGGGGAACAGGAGAATCAAAGGGTGCATGCTAGAGCCCCAACCACACACACAGATGAGCCTGCCATGGCTGCATTTGAAATACTAGACCTGACACATCCCTGTCTGATCTTCCCATCAGACGGAGACCAGAGACCTGAGGATGATGACACTAAGATGACACAGGATGAGGTGGGAGCTAGGGAACCTGTGCCGTCCCCTCAGCTTCTCAGGGACTCAGTTTCCCCATGCTGTCCATACTGAGTGGGGCCTGGGCCAAGTCCTTCCTGTGCTCACTCCCTTGATGACCCCTTGCCATTCTCTGAGGCTCAGATGCCACAAGGGGACTGATACTCACATAGGGCTGCAGGAGGCAGCTGGTGTCCTTCATGAGGTGCGCCAGGCTCTGGAGCTGGCCAAGGAGCTGCATGTAAGAAGAGCCGGAGCATCTGCGCATGGCCACTGCCGCCTCCACCGCCAGGCTCAGGAGCAGGAGTCCAAGGACCAGACCTGGGGCAGAGAAGGACAGCATCACCTGATGTGGTGAAGAAGCTATAGGTGGGTCCCCTGGAGAAGGGCTGCAGAGGGCCTTGGGGGGTGCCCAGCTTGTCCTGGGCTTGGTGCAGTCTGGGGTAGGGACTGAGTACTGGACAGGAAGCCCAGGAACACCCCAGGGACCACTACCTTACCCGGGAGTCACTGCCCAGACCCGAAACAGGGTTCAAGGGGTGGTAACTAATTTAACACTCAGGCCTTTGAGTGGAGGCTGCAGCAGGTCTCAGGCTCAGCCAGGTCTCGGTCTGCCCACATCCCAGTCCTATCTCAGGTGCTGACAGCAGGTGGCTCGACCTCTGAGCTAAGTGCCACTCATGGCCCCAGGACTCATCAGCCACCCTGTGCCCCTTGTAACAGACCCTGGGTCCGAGATGAGTATACTAGAGAGGCACTTGGGCCAGCAGCCCCGAGCAATGGTGCTGAGCACTATGCACCAAGCCAGAAAGAGCCAGGAGAGTCCACTTTTCCTCCCAAAGGGTCAGCATAGTGAAGACATGAGATATCATCCAGTATGTGTGCCCATTTTGCTGACAGATAAACCAAGTCACTGGAAGAAGTCTTGCCTGGATCACAAGCCAGCCTTTCCTGTCTCCATAAGCGGGCCCTTCTGTCAGGGCCGCCAGGGTTGCCATGATCCTATGGCAAGTTCCCAAGGGGCTAGAGCAATTACAGCTCACTGTCCCCTACCCCCACGGGCTGCAACAGCCACGTGGTCGGAAGGGCCTGTGGCGCAATGGCCCGGAAGGCAGTGACACCATCCTTCCCTTCCTACCAACCCCGCGGCACTAAGGGGAGGACCAGCTGCTGGGAAGGGTGCAGGGGCAGGGCGCCCAGGCGTGTAACCGCTGGCACCCCTGCTACTTCCCCAGGTGTCTTCCTTCAGGCTCCGAGAAAGAGACCCACAGCACGTGTGTGACAGCAATCATATGGGACCAAGAGTTGGCAAGGGTGCATGACCCGACCCACAGGAACCATCGGGGAGCCTGGCCTGATCACCTGGGGCCTGGCTTCCAGGTGAGGCTCCCCAGGTTGGTGAAAGTGAGGGCTTGGGATGATGTCACAGGGCTCCGTGCACCTGTCACCGTGTGGGTGTGGCTGTCTGTGTGTGGCTGTGTGGGCTCCAGGGCTCCTGGGCCCCGCTGACTTTCCCTCTGCCCCAGACCCTGAGAATCAAATCGGGCCAAAAAGGAGCCCCTGTCTGCACACGTTGCCTCACTTCCCTGCCGAATCCGGCAACTTCCTGCCCCATCCGCACTTCTTCCAGGGCCTCCTGCGCGCCGGCCTCCTCCTACCCATCCTCTCGCTGGCTCCAGTATCCCAGAGTTGCCTCCACTTCTCCTCCCCCAGAAGCCTTCTGGGTAACCCCTGCCTGCACCTGTGGGGATGCTGGGTTCTCGGCAGACCCTCCCCTTGCCCGGCTCCCAGCACTTCTCTCCTCAGCATCCTTCTGCCCGGTGCCAGGCTGACCCAAGTCCTTGAGGGCAGTGTGCCTTGCTCGGCACTGGTGCCCTGGGCACAGCACCAGGCAGCTGGCTCAGAGGAAGGAAGTACTTACTGAACAGCGTCCTCCATATGAGCGGTGTCCGCATGCTGGGTGCTGGTTCTCTGGCCCGTGCCTGCTGGGGGTGATACCTTCAAGCTGGGAGTCCCGCGGGCTGGCAGCCACTTTATGCCCGCTGGGGCGATTGGCCAACACCTCGTGAGGTGGGGGGGAAGGGGGAGGGCAGGTCTTCTGGGAACATGACCCCAAAAACCAAAGTTTCCACGGCGGCCAACGGGCATGCTCCTCCTCCTGTTTTCTTCGAATTCGTTCTTCGAGGTCAGCCCCACGCCCAAGGATGATGCAAACCGCAGCTTCAGGCTTCTTAAGGTAAATGGGGAGCAGGGACGCTGTGCCATCTTCAGGGCACATCCCAGGGAAGGAGGCAGAGACTGAGAGCCAAGCATCTGGAGGCCCCAAGCCAGTCATGGTCCAGGAGCCTCTGGCCAGGCAGGACACCCGAGAGCTGAAGGGAGCAAGACATCTTCCTTATTGAGCGCCCTTCCTGGCCTCTTGCTGGGGCTGTTGGTACATCTGTGAGCGGAAACCACTGGGCCCTGGGCACAGAGCCAGAGCCAGACCCAGGCTGGCAGCCCCGAGATTGTCCCCAGCCAGACTGCCCCATCTCCATTCCTTCATTAGCCACCCCACCAGCCTCCCACCCCAGCCCTCTGCCCACAGCCATGTCCTTTCTCTGAGCGGGGGTGCTCTAAGAACCGGGCACATGAGCAAAAGAAGCAGGAGATCGGTTCTCACGACTTCTGACACGCTGTGTAGCCTGAGGCAAGTCACGTAACCTCTCCGAGCTTGAGAAGCCCCACCTGGGGGAAAAGAAAGAGAAAAGAAAAGCATTTCCTACACCACCTCCCCGGGCTGGTGCCGTCGTGGACATAAAAGGTAAAGAACCTGAGAAGGGAATAGACAAGACGAAACTCTAATTCCAAGTACTAGCTGTCGACGCTAGGATGGGGGCAGAGGTGGGATGGGGGGCGGAGGAGATGGGGAAGTTGTGAGCTCAGAGGGGAAGCCTGGGAGGGGGAGCTGCTGCCCTGGCGGTTGGAGACAAGGTTTCACTTTCTCTGAAAGATAGCAATCATGGGTTGGTCCCTGCTTCTCAAAGCTGAAGGCATCAGAAGACGCCTTGGAGACAGCACCCCCCTGCTACTTCACTGGGTAAACTGAGGCATGGGGAACAAGGACAAGGAGGCACAGGGGCTGGCAGACACCTGCAGGAGCTTCCTGACAGCCCCAGCACATCTGCTAGAACTGGAGGAGGAGGATCCCTGGCCTGTGCACTCAGAAGGCTAGAGAGACAGGGCAGAGCCTCAGGCCGGGACTGCAGCAACCAGGGAAGCACTGAGCCTGGAGTGCCCACTGAAAACTCAGAGGCAGCCCAACCAGAGCTGCTCCCGGCTGCTCTGCAGGCTTGGCCCCATCCCCATTCATGTAGTCATTCAACAAACCAGTAAAGGTCTCAGCCACTCCCAGGTCCTATGGATCCCATAGTAGGCAAAACCAGACCCAGCCAGCTGCTTCACACCCCCGCCCTCCCTGCATACAGCGTGGTGCTCACTGCACAAAGCCTAACGCCACACCTTCCTCATCTCCCTGGGCCAGTTCTGGATTCTCATCCTAAGAATGTCACTTCCACTAAATTCCTCATCTCTGCTCACCCACGCAGTGCTGTTTTCTGGGGCCTTGGCCGAGCCAAGATCCTTCTCCATTTCACATCCCTGATCTCATCTTATAGTGGCCTGGGAGAGAGATGCCTCATCTCACTTTAATGAGGAGGTGCAGCCCCCGGAAGTCCAGAGGCCGGCTCAGGGCAGGAGAGCCTGATCTAGTCACGAGCTGCCTCTTGGCTATTGCTGCCAGGCTGTGACACTTGGGGACTCCCAAATATCTTCACCTTGTTCTGGAGTCCGAGCCGGCTGTATTGTCTCTTGGACTTAAAAGGGCTCAGAGGCACAGAGCGGGAGGTTGCCCTCCTCAGGCTGCATAGCGGGAAAGGCGACTTTCAGACTGAACCCGTTTAATTTGAAGGACCACATTCTTACCACAGAGTTAATCAGAGTGTCGAGTGTGGGCCCCCAGCTCGAGTGTCAACAAAGGCAAGCATAGTTTGCACACGCATTTGTAGGAGTTGGGATAATGTAGTGACAGCTGTCCCGTGACAACCACAAGAGATGGGTTCAGCAGCCCCATCAGTGTCTCTTACACAAAATGATGTAGCACTTGATAGACTTGTCAAATCTGCTGCCCTTCGACCATTTATCCTCTGTTATTTTTTTATTTTGTTTTTTTAGTTTTTTGAGACAAGTTCTTGCTCTGTAGTCCAAGTTGGCCTTGAATTCACTATGTAGTGCAGGCTGATCTCAAACTCACGGCAATCCTCCTGCCTCAGCCTTCTGGGCTGTGAGTGCTGGGATCACAGTTGTGCACCTGGCTTACCCTCTGTTTTTCAATGTTATGAGTATAAAATATGTACAACTAGACAGGCATGTTGGTGCATTTCTATAATCCCAGCACTCGGGGCGGGGGGGCTGGGGAAGGAAGGTCATAACAGGGGAAACCTTCAGAGGCCTGACTATATTTCCAGTTTGCAGGAGGCTGAATCTGCAGGCGCAGAGTCCACAGACACCAAGGTTGCCCATGCCACAAGCTAGGAGGATTCAGCAACGAAATTTATTTTCTCAGTTTTGGAGACCAGAAGTCTGAGATGGAGGTGGCAGTGGGCTCGGTTCCTTCTGAGACCTCACTTCTTGGCATGCAGGTGGCCTGGGCTTGCTGTGTCTTCACATGGGCAGCGCTGGTCTGTGAGCTGTCCGTGTCCTCATCTGTTTGGACGAGGACACCAGTCACAAGGATTATGCTGCACCCAAAAATTTGTTTTACCTTAATCACTTCTCGAAAGGTCCTATCTTCAAATGTAGCTGCATGTACAGACACCAGGGATCATGAATTACACCCAGGGCTTTGGGAAAGACATGAATCAGCCCATAACAGCTTGCAGAAGGCAACACGGTTGGAGCGCTGCAAGAAGTGGGGACATTGGTGGAGGGTCCAGGGGATGCATAGTAGGACAGGGAGTGGCCAGTGACCAAAGGGGCAGAGGCCTGGTCCCTCGACCATCAGAGCAGAGGGTGAAGGAAGATGCGTCAGCATTTCTAGTGAGGTCAGTGCCTAGTGACGTCCCTCTCACCAGCAGGAAAAGCTTGCAACATGGCCTAGCTAGTATAAATAGGACCCAACCACAGGGCCCGGGCTATCCCCCCCTTTGGAGCCACGTCAGCCAGCTCCGCGTGATTTGGAGAGGAAGAGGACGGGTTTGGTTCCTCAGAACTGCTGTTCCTCAGCCTCTGGGGGCCACCACCCTCTGCAAGTGGGAGCCCTGCTCCTTTAAGTACAAGGATAGGACCTGTGATGGCGTGGGGTAGGAGGCGGAATCCACTGGGTAGAAGGAAAGTATCCCTCCCTGGGGTGGGTACAGAGAGTCAAGCTCCAGTCTCCATCTGCTTGGGAGCCAGTGTCTTTGACACACTCATATCTACTTTCTGAGCCTCAGTTTCCCCTGCATAAATGGAAATGACATAATAATAAAAGACAATCCAAGCCCTACTCACAGTGGTGCCTGACTGTAATCCCAGCATGCAGGAGGCTGAGGCAGAAAGATCGCTGAGAATTTGAGGCCAGTCTGGGCTACATAGTGAGCTCAAGGCCAGCTTGAACTGCATAGTGAGTTTGTCTCTAAATAAATAACTGCAAAGAATTAGAATCAACATTTCTCCAAAATCAGCACAAAAGGCCAAAAAGAACATGAAAAGATCTTAAGAGCCAAACTCAATAGCACTTACCTATAATCCCAGCTTCAGAAAGCTGAACCAAGAGGATCACAAGTTTAAGTCCAGCATGAACAACTTAAAGATCCTATTTCAAAATAAAGTTTAAAAAAATACTAGGGAGGTGGTTCAGCAGTGGAGCGCTTGCCTAGCATGCACAAGGCTCTGGATTCAAACTCCAGCACCACTTAAGAAAAGAAAGAAAGAAAAAAAGAAAGAAACAAAGAAGGAAGAAAGAAAGAAAGAAAAGCAGCAAGCTTGGGGCTGGGGATTTAGCTCAGTGGCATAAGCACCTGCCTTGCAAGCAGGCGGTCATGAGTTCGATCACTGGTACCGATAAAAAATGAAAAAGACAAAAAAAAAAAAAAAAAAAAAAAGCAGCAAGCTAGGCATGATGCTGTATACGTGTAATCCCAGGACTCTGGGAGGCTGAGACAAGAGGGTCTAAATTTGAGCACCCCCTGGGAAAGTTAGCAACTTAAAGTCCAGGGATGCAGCTGAGTGCAAAGTCCCTGAGTTTAATCCCCAGTAGTAGAAAAAAAAAGTACCTGACATCATTAGCTATCAGGGAAATGAAAATTCAAGCCAAGATGAGATAGCATGACATACTCACTAGTCTAACCAGAATCAAAGACAGATAATAAAAAGTGTAGATGAGGGTGTGAAAAAACTGAAACCCTGTACACTGCTGGTGAGACTGGAAAGCAGTTTGGCAGTTCCTTAAATGGAGATATTATATAACCAATAATTCCACTCCTAGATTAATACCCAAGAGAACTGAAAATATACACCCAAAATTTTTTTAATAAGAAGAAAATATATATTCACAGGCACGTTTGCAAATGGCCATAGGAGCAATTATTTACATTCTTCAAAAGGTACAAACTAATGTCTGTCAGTGGCAGATGGACAAACAAATCTGCCACCTACCCAGTAATACAATGGGCTAGTAGTGAGTCACAAACGGGAATGAAGTACTGACCCTACAACATGGACACACCTTGAAAACGTAGAAAGACAAAGCAGCCAGACACAAAAGACCACATGTTGTATGTGTCACTTTACACAATGTCCTGAATGAGCAAATGCAGAGACAGAAAGTTGATTAGTGGTTGCTGAAACTGAGGAATCTAGCGATAGGAAGTGACAGCTAAAGGACATGGGTTTTTTTCCTGGGTGAGGCAATAAAAATATTAGAATTTGCCTGGAATTCCAGCACTCAGGAGGCTGAGGCAGGAGAATTGCTGAGAGTTCAAGTCTAGCCTGCAATATGTAGACTGTCTCAAAAAAATTTTTTTAATAGAATTAGATAGCAGTGATGATTGCACAACTTTAAATATACTAAAACCCACCAAATTGTATAAATGTGATGGTACATAAATTGCATCTGGGGGGCTGGGGATTTAGCTCAGCGGCATAAGCGCCTGCCTTGTAAGCAGGCAGTCATGAGTTCGATCCCTGGTACCAATAAAAATGAAAAAGACAAAAAAAATAAAAAATAAATTGCATCTGAATTTTTAAAGATACAGGGCAGGGGCAAATGGTACCTCTTAGCATAGTGTAATTCAGTGGGTTGATGGTTACCTACAGCTGGTGTCTGGTAAATATGTACCCAACAGCCACTGGGGCAGACGAAGACACATATTTGCTTATGTCACAGGCTGGCGTTTGAGGGCAATTGGGAAAGGCCGTGTTACATAAACTCTGGCGTGAGGCAAGGATTGACCAGTTCAAAGAGGTCACCCTAGGCGCAGGAATCCCTTGACTCACAATCTGCCACTAAATCCTTCTGGGGCCTGGCATGGCCACAGATTCAGGAAACCATGTCCCGTGTCCCCTGTGTGGGGTGATGAATTCCCAAATTGGGTAAGTGACCTGCATTCCAGGGGCCTAGTCTGGAGGTATGGCAAAGACAGACAAACTCCTCCCTTCTGCTCCCTGACCGCTTTCTGACCAAGATCTGTAGCTCCTTAGCCCCCAGCCTGCCACGAGGAGCCCCTGGTGGGGAGGAGCTGGCTAGGCGGGGTGACCATAAGCACCCAGGCTAGGTGGCGAGATGAGGTGCTCTCCTGCTCTTCACCCTCTTGCTGACTCGGGCCCCACCACCACCGCCACGCCCTCTGAGCCCAGGTCCTGCCTGAGGTGACAGGTCAAAAGGACCAACAGCCCTCAAGGGCGAAACAGAGACCCTTCAGTGGCTCTCAATACTGAAATACCATGCTAAGTAAAAACAACTCTAAGTATTAAATGGAATAAGTCCAATGGGGTCCTAATTTTCTCACGACAATGTACAATACCTCTTTTGTTTTTGTTTCATTTTGTTTTTGAAACAGGGTCTCACTCTGTAATTCAAGTTGGCCTTGAACTCACTAGCTCAGGCTGGCCTCAAACTCATAGTGATCCTCCTGCATTAGCCTCCCAAGTTCTGGGGTTATAAGCATGTGCCACCATGCCTGGCTATAACACCTTTTTTGAAACATCTGATTCTTAATATGTTTGGGTGCCACCAGCACAATTCCAGATCCTCTGTGTGCAGAGCCTGGGACGCCTCCTTAGGAGCCAGGATCATTGTTTCTGTCCTGAAAACAAGGAAACTGAGGCCTAAGTGACAGAATCCTGAGAGAAACACCAGGCAACCCTCCAGAGCCAGGAGATCCACCTCCAAGCCCAGGGGATTGTGCAGGACTCATGTTTCCAAGTGGCTCAAGGGAAGCAAAAATACTTGCTCTCCTAAGGGGCTTGGGGAAAACAGCTCACCCAGGGAGACCAGCCTGAAGCCAGGCAGACAGGAACCAGGTGAGCCGAGGTGGGTGTGCCTGGAAGCCTGATAAAAACAGAAGAAAACTGGCAGGGGGGTCACCCACACCTCCTGGATTTTGCTGCCACTGTAGTGCCTAAGAAGGGGCTTATGTCACACAGCCTGGTCACACCCCCTTGCCTGAAACATTTTCCTGATTTCCTATTGTTAAAGTCATTACCATGCCACCAGGCTCTGTCCCCCAATCACACTTGCACCCCTTCTCACTCCCTTCTTCCTTGGTTCTCAGGGGTGGTCAGTTTACACCTCAGGGCCTTAGCACATGCACCCTGAACATTCTACCTACTGAACTGCCACCCAGACATCAAGGTCCAGCCCTGGTTTTGCCTCTCTAGGGAAATCCCTGCACCGACCTTCTTGCACCTATATTCTCAGCTCCTCTGAGGCTCCCAGAGCACCAAGCATCCCTCTGTGTAGCACTCTTCAGAAGTGTGCATTTTGTAAGCCAGGAATGGTGGCACACACCTGTAACCCCAGCACTCAGGAGACTGAGGCAGGGGCAGGAGGATCACTTCAAGTTCAAGGCCAGCCTTAACTACATAGCAAGACCCTGTCTCACTCCCCTAAAAAGCAAGTGTGCATTTTTTACAAGTATGGGTTTTCTCCCCAGCCAGACTGTGAATTCCAGGAGGGTGTATGCTGTGGTCTGACTCTTCTCTGTCTCTCTGGTATGCGGTTAGGGCCACAAAATGTAGTATGTCTAAAGAAATCCTTAGCGAAAGCTAAATCCTTAGTCACCCAGCTGCAGCCAGCTGCAGATGCCCCAGGAAAGGTGAGCGATAACTCCAGCCTTCAGGACAGAGATGCATCCCTGCCCCACATCTGGTGCACCTGCACCAAGCTTTCCAGAAGCACAGAGCCTTCCCGCTGGGTCGATCAGCTTCTTCCATAAACGTTTCCCACAGTGCTCCTGGTTCCTTTCCCAAGGAAATCTGATTTCTGCCATTCTCAGTGCTCCGCAGCATGTGATCCCAATTCTGGGTAGCCTCGATTTGAAAGACGCTGACTTTTTCCTGTATGATAACTTCTTTTAAAAACAAATTCAGGATCTGCTTTTTCACCCATTGCAGATTGCAACACTTTCCTGGAAAACAAACTAAAAAAGAAAAAGCCAAAGCATTTTTCCTGTTTCCTTTAAAGAATTCATTTCTGAATAAATTCCACATGCAAGGCACAGATAGCCTCACAGAAGGAGACTGGTCTTCTAGCACAAGAGACAAGATGCTATTCTGTAAAAACAAAA